TTATGCATCAGTTGTTCGAACGGCTGGACATGAAGAAGGTAATGCCAGCACATCTTTGGGAAGTTCTGAGAAAGGTAGCTACAAATCGAAGCGGTGTCTGCAACGAATTGGGGCTGACTGTCAAAGAAGGCAAGGAGGTGCTTCACTCGTGCCTTTTCGGTGCCAATACTCCTGTAAGCCTTGGCACCAACGAGTTTATGCAGTCATTCCAGCGGATGGCGCTCTTCATGCGCTGGACGGCGTGCTCGCTGCTTCCCGATGTGTATGAACTTGTGAGGACTATGAAAGAAAAGCGAAATCCTGATGCATCGGTGTTATTCTATTTGTATGTGCTGGTGGAAGACACTGTTCTACAGGCATGGGAAGACCATCTGGTGCGCCAATTTAGCCCGAAACATATCTCCCTGCACTTCGACGGGCTACGGATCGACGCGTCGTGCTTATCTGGAACACCGTTGGGAGTCCATTGTGCAGAAACGGAAAAGGAGATCTTGAAAAGAACAGGGTTCAAGGTGACTGTTGTCGAGAAGCAGCACAAATACTTCATGGAGTTATGCAGGCAATATGGAGCCGCAAGGGACGATGAGGCTTTGCACGATGCTAAGTATGCGTGTCTGCGAAAAGATGGCAACTGTATTCTTCGGGCAGTGGCCCAGCTGTTTCCAGGGAAGGCGGCGCAAGTTCTGGAATACGTACAGGAGTCCAGTGCTGCCAACAGCCAAGCTGCATCGCATGGATCGAGATGCTACAACGATGTGCTGACAGCACTGGGCATACACGCGGTGCCTCACCTGGGCTTCTCCATTACGGAGCAGGGTAAATACCTCGTGCACACAGAACATACAGGGCGACCTCATTGCGTGTCCGTTGACGTGGCGTTGACAGACGGTGATGTCCTGTCTGCCGAAGTGGGTGGTTGTACTGAGACGCTGGACATGCCGCTGACCAAGCTACAGGATGCATCTCAAAATGCGATGGACTCTAGTTCCATTGTGACTTTCCGGCTGTTTGACCAACGTGGAGACGTGAACTGGCCAGCTGACGATTTACAGGCGAACTTGGAATTGCTGCTTCTGCTGCATGCAGGGGCAGGCGCGGAGAGCTCTGATGATATTTGGGTTCAGGATGCAGCGGCTGTTTTGCAATGCAGCAACAACGAATCAGACGATGAATGCCCTGGTTCTTTGCCGACGGCAGATGACGAAGACATCGTTTCTGTCTCGAGTAGGTTGTACAAACTACTGCAAGAAGAAGTGCATCAAGCGAAACAAAGCCATTCTGCAGACAAGCGTTGCCCGCTGTGTCCATTCCGAAAATTTTCCAGACGGGACAGGCTGCTGGCTCATATCAAGACATATCACGTGCCAGAGAGACACTTTGTGTGTTCCGGGACCAAACAACTCAAGGTCGTTTGTGCTCTCTTCGACCAGGATCAGCTCAACAGAAATTCCGGTTCGGATTACTTGAAGAGAAGTGCTGAGATTATGTTCCACAGTATTGTCCCCAAGCTCAACTGCTGCGTGAACGACACTTGTCTCTCAGTTTATTGCTTTAGTTTTCCATGCGCTTCTCGATTGCTTCTGGAGCATTATAGAATCATTAGAGATAGCATATGACTTTTTTCTTTGCGAGTTGGAGAAATCAGGAAGTGGATCGCTATATCCGTCTCGTCCTTACAGAAACAGGGCCAATGTTTCAGAACATTGATGGGCTGGGAGACAGGCGCCTAAGGAGAGTCAGAAACCTTTATATGACTCGTGGATTTGCTGATTTGGTGTATCAGGAGGCACTGCTATGCAACGGAAAGTGCAAATCATTGCGTTCTCGAGTATCTTACATTCTTTCCCAGCGCGGTTGCACTCTTACGTCGCTCTTGCCGACAGACGTAAGACACTGGTGGCCACTCATCGAGGACGTGTTCAACTCCCCGCAAGTCAAGCAGTTGCATGATGGTATAACCCATTTCCTCTGCTCTCGCGACGAGTACAAGTACATATCCATTGATGCAACGATAAAATGTTGTGTCTCCATACTGGGACAGGCGTCATGGCGCAGCAACGTTGTAACAAGAAATGAGGCACCGTTTGATGATGTTTCAGCTGTCCGCCGAGTTCTTACCGTGCGAGGCCGTACCGGTGCCGTGCTGGGCATGTTTGCAATAGCGTCGGAGAAAGCAGAGGAAGTGGCAATGGCACTTGGAGCCAATCTTCCCTCGGAAGGCCTCCGGCAGGTCAGGATGGTTGCAGCGGACAATGCATCGAGAAAACTATATCTACATCTTCGGCGAATAATGCCTGGTCTGGAAAGTCTTTGCCTGGATCCTATTCACTTGGCAATCACCTATGAGTGTCCTGCCGTTAGTGTTTGGTTGCCTTTCTCGACAACTAGTTCCTAAAGTCACACACCGCAACTTCTCGGCAAAGGTATGCGACATGGCGAAAGAAGACAGCAGGCGCAGTCTTCCTCAGGAAAGTCCTCAAGAAGCTGATCGTGGTAGACGCAAACAAGTCGGAAGGTTCATGGGGCGTCTACTTTCGTGGGTATGAAGAAAGGCCTTTATCCATGTTGGAATCTCGAAGACGAGATTTAATCACTTCGGGTACAATGCTGGCGCCAAAAGCTAAGAGAATTGTGGACAGTCTCGACAGTGCAGTACCATTTGGCTGCAGACTGGAATTCATCGAAGCGTTGGCTGCACTCGCAGCGGTCTTCCGACTTGATATGGCACGAAAAGTCACCGGTGCCAATATACCACTTCATCAGGTTCTGAAATGTGCTTGTGCGCCTGATCGACTGGAGTGGCTTTTCAACAGCCTCCGATGGCGACATTCGCTGCGTCCTGGACTTACTGCTACTGTCTGTGGCATTGCCATATGCTGGCATTCACTCACTGAACTTAATACCAGTAAGCTGAATGTTTGAGGTCCATCGGAGAGAACGCTTCTCCCGTCTGGCACAAGCTCTAATGAGGCGTTGCACAGTGAGGTGAAGAGTTGGTTCAAGCAGACACAGCAAATGCATCAAAGCACGCTGCAGCTAAAGCTGCGGGTGTTAACCTTAGGCAAAGTTTTGCCTCATTATGGTGCTTTGCGATATCCGACTCTCAGTCAGATGAGTAGTGGTCTCGTGCTGGCTCGGATCGTCACTGCATCCGTGTGGACAGATGACACATGGAAGCAGTGGTGTCACAGTACGGAGAAAGCCGACCTTCCACTGCAGCGTGACAGATTGGAAGAGGTCAAAAAGGTCAGCGACTGGGTTTCCAAGAAACCCGCAGGACGCAATGGCCTCAAACGAAAGCGTACAGTTTTCACTATGGAGCGTTCTCATAAAATCAGACGACAGGGCGTGAAGCGATGCGCAATCAGCATGGCCTGAGGCAACCTCAATGCTCGACCACGCGGCATTCGGTGCAAAAGTCGCTCTGCGAAGCTGCTGGAGCATGTTCATTCTCATGTGAAGCTGCTGGAGCACGTTCCTTCTGACGTAGATGGACAGCAACTACTTGTTTGGTGTGCTCGGCAGGGCCTCCACGTCCGCAGTGTCATCGAGATGCGGAAGGTTTGCACGGACCGGTAGGTTAGGGAAG